AGAAAGGAGCATGTGAAAAATGGTGGACTGCTGTAAAAAGCAGCGCTCTGATCTCCCTGTAACTTTAAAGCCCCTGGCATATTAATTTTAGTTAATAAAAGAGACAAAAAAACTATCAAGTATATATGAATTTAGCCTATTTTTTTATTTCTGTGTGTTCATAGTAAACATTTTTGTAAGTGACAAACACGGGCATATGACCACAGTATCACAATCAAGAAATTTTAAGACGACATTAACAATCACTCAAATTTATGCGTCATTTGCGCAACACAGGTTACATATTTGCAAGGTTTACCTATAAGTACAATAGGTATTAACATTTCACTACATTTAGAAAAAAAATAAAGGTGACCTGTTAGTGACCACATACATCAAAATATACACAACACAAACTGAAGGCAATCATTAATTTTGTCCCCTTCTGATTCATTTGAACGGGCAGTGCTGCAAACTGAAATAATGTTGCTGTTTTTTTTAAATTACTCCGTACACTGAGTGCATTTTCTAAAACCCAATCTTTGGTCTAAAAGTAAACAAACAAACAAACAAACAAAAGAAAAAGGAACCCAAAAAAAAAAAGCAGTTCGGTAAAGAAAAGGATAAAATCAGAAATGGCCAAAATGTAGTTCTTGGGCAGCTTTCAGTATTAATTCTGCTTAAATACAAATTACGTTTAAAGTTTTTTTTATAGTTTTCATAAATTTAGTGGTTTGGTTTTTTTTTTTCTTTCTTTCTTTCTTTCAAGGTCTGCACCCACCGACATATCCATGATAACTTATAATACTGCAAACATGGAGAATCTGGCGGCTTTTAGTGATAGACTTATCGTATCTGAATAAAAAAATCGCAAAAGCAGTCACTATTTAGATACACATTCTACTATAATTTTGTCTTCCAAACTTCATAGTCTACAATGTAATCTCCCCACATTGCACCTTGCTGACACTCCTCACCTTGGTGGAATAATAAACAACCCTAAAGACTGAACAAACGTACAGAAAATGGGGGAACTTAATAAAAAATACCTGGACTTTTTTGTTTTGCTTTTTTTTTTTCTTTTAATCATCATTTACAATGCAAACGTGTGTAAAATGTTCACTTACAGTCTGATCCCATGGATGTTAATGTATTAAAGGGTTTGAAGAAGACCCCTGATTTTGATGTGTGAAATAATCAGAAAGTCCTCCGGAAAGTCCCGTTGTAAAACTTGGCAAAGAAGGTCTTAAGGACTCACAGGGGAGAGTGGAGGGCGCCTGTGGCGACGTGGAGGAGGAGGCTGCCCTGGCCGTCATTGAAGTGCTGCTTTGAGAAGTCATTGAAGGGTGAGGAACGTGGGGGAAAAAGTAACTCGTCTGTCCTGCTAGGAGGTTTACAGAGCAGGGGTTTAGGGAATAGGTGCCGGAGCAGGGAACTGACAAGCCACACGGCACTGAGGCGGCCAGAGCTGCTGCTGTGAGGTGATGAGTGGCATAAGGTATCTCTCCATTGACTAGTCTATCAACACTTAACCCATTAGACGTGGAAAAGGAGTGGTTGTTTCCCAAGGAGTTTTGAGTCAACACTGAGCTGTAGGGCATGGGGTGGCTGGGGTAGGCGGACGTGGTCCCATTGTAACTCAAAGTGCTGCTGGCCCGGGGGTGGTGCAGGGAGAGGAAGGGGGACATAGGCCAGTACAAGGATCCTGCCCTATCCATGAATGTCAGTCCGGTGGAGGTGAGCCGGGCGCCCCGCTTGAAGGCCAGCTTGGCCCGCGAGGTGGTGGAGCGCCGGCGGAGCTTGCCGGGGGTGCCCCCGATGAAG